TTGTACACAGGATCACTATGAGTCGCAAGTGATCCACACTTTGTAAGGGGCAGTTCTTGTTGTTATTGAGTACTATTGCGTCAGAACTAATCCATAGCTGACTCTCCATGGGTTTTCAGAGGCAGTAAATCACAAGGAAAGAACTTACTCATCCATCTCCCATATTGCTGCTGGGAGCAGCTTAATAATCACACAGTTAAATGCACACACACACACACACACACACACACACACACACACACACACAGCAGGGTGCTGCAAAAGAGACCTGGAGATATTAGTCACTATCAAAATAAGAACCATTCTTTGGTAAATTTAAGTAATGTTACTATCCCTGAACAGCCAATTCTCTATCTTCACATTAATTTGCTTTTGCATGTACTAGGCACATGTGGAAGGTGCCAAAGTGAATTGGCGGATTAGGCACTACACTGCTAACTGAAAAGTTGGTATTTCAAATCCTCTAGCTTCTTCCTAAAAGAAAGATGGAGTGTTCTGCTTCCATAAAGATTTATAGCCTCAGAAACCTTGCAGAGCAGTTTTGCTCTGTCATATGGGGTTACAATGAGTCAGAAGCAATGCTATAGTCATGATAGTGTAGTAGTAAGCACAATTAAGTTCTTCTGCAAATAAGTTCTCCTGACTTAGAAATAAAAAACTGTCTCAGAGAAGATAAATAATGTGTTTAAAGTATGATTCTTATATAAAAAGAACACTTAGCTTTGCTTGAGGCTTTGTAGCTATTCTTGGGAATGATCTCGTTGTAGTCACATAGTCCTTTTGTGCCTTCACCTGAGTATCCCCATCTCTACTTGCAGCAACGTGGTCCCTCTACAGTTAGCACCCCTAAGGGAACTCTGGGAGCTTAATGGGTAAAGAGTTATGTTGCCTACCCAAAGGCAGGCTGTTCAAATGCACCAGCTACTTCAAAGGAGGAAAATAGACAATCTCCTCCTTTGTGATTTACAGCCTCTACGAACCTATTCTAATAGTTGACCTCCAGAGTCAGCTGTGAGTTGGATCCAACTCAATAGCAACTTGAGTTGTATAATGAGTACAGATACAATACAATAAGGGTTGTTTTGTTGTTGTTATGTGCCATCAGGTCGCTTGTGACTCATGTACAAGAGCCCTAAATGCTGCTCTATCCTGTGCCAACCTCGCCATCTCCAACACACTCATTCCCACCACCCCAATCACAGAATCAATCCATCTCATCGAAGGTCTTCCTGTCCTTTGCTGCCCCTCCACTCTCCCAAACATGATGTCCCTCTCCAAGAACAAGTCCCTCCTTGCAACATACCCAAAATATGTCAGACGAAGGTTCAGAATCCTTGACTCCAAGGAGCATTCTGGCTTCACCTTCTCCAGGACAAACCTGTTTGTTCTAGCAGTCCATGGTATATTCAACACTCTTTTCCAGCACCACAGCTCAAAAGCATCTATTCTCTTTCTATCATCCCTATTCACTGTCCAACTCTCCGATGCATAGCATGTAATTGCGAAGACTATAGCCTGGATCAGGTGCACCTTAGTCTCCAGTCTGACGTCGTTGCTCTTCAGTACTCTTGAAAGGTCCCTCACAGCTGACTTTCCCAATGCAATTCTTCTCTGGATTTCCTGGATGCTGGTACCAAGAGTGTTGACTGTGGAGCCAAGTAAACTAAACTGTTAACTATCTCAATCTTTTCACCATCCATACTGATGCTGCCAATTGGCCCAGTGGTGAGAATCTTTGTTTTCTTGATGTTGAGCTTCAATCCATATTGAAGGCTGCAGTCCTTGACTTTCTGCAGCAAGCGCTTCAGGGCCTCCTGTGTTTCAGCAAGCAGGGTTGTGTCATCTGCCTAGCACACTAAAATAGGTCAAAGACTCTGTCTAGGACCATGTTGTTGTTGTTGTTGTTGTTGTTGTTGTTGTTGTTGTTGTTATGTGCTGTTGAGTCCCCTGCGACTCATAGCGACACAATGTACAACAGCCCTAAACTGCTCTATCCCTTGCCAATGTTATTATCTCTAACACATCCATCCCCATTACCCCAGCAACTTAATCAATCCATCACATCGAGGGTCTTCCTCGCCTGTGCTGTCCCTCTTCCTTCCCAAGTATGACGTCCCTCTCCAAGGACTGATCTTACCTTACAACATATCCAAAGTAGGTCAGATGGAGTTTCAGGATCCTTGCCTCGAAGGACCAGCCTGACTTCACCTTCTCATAACAATTTTTTAAGAGGAAATATTGGGCTGGGTATCTGTCTGCCTCTGGGCTCTGCAGTGGGGATTTGACTGAGATAAGATTGAGGATAGTTGAGTTTCCTTATCTTACTGGAGGGTATCTTACACAAGCATATGCTAGAGATACTGCTGCCTCAGTTCCAGACCACACTGGTACAGCAAGTTATGTGTATTATGTTTGTCTGTCTCATGTGGACTTTGTTTCCCACTACATATAATATTTGTCTTGTATTGTAGTCAATTAAATATACAATGCCATTATGAAAAAGTCAGAAATATTGTGATAATTAGCCAAATGTGACACAGAAATACTGAGTGAACAAAATTGGAAAAACAGCCCTAATAGATTTGCTTAGTGAAAGGCCCTTCAAACTTTCACTGTGTAAGGGTGGTCGGGAAAAACATCTACTAGAAACAATAAAATAAAATCTAATGAAATGAGGTGTGCCTGAACCTGTCCCTTGAACACATGCCTTAGTCCACTTGGTTCTGAATCTTCTTCCATTTACTGCAGGAAAACTCTAGAAACAAACAGGCTCATCCTAGAGAGGGTGAAACCAGGCTGCTCCTTGGAGGCAAAGATTCTGAAGCTTCTTCTGACATACTTTGGACATGTTGCAAGATGGGACCAGTCCTTGAAGAGGGACATCATGGTTGGGAGGGTGGAGGGTGGCCTATGAGAGGAAGACCCTCGATGAGATGGATTGATTCAGTAACTGGGGTAATGGAGGTTAGTGTGTTAGAGACAGTGAGGTTGGCAAGGGATAGAACAGGGCTTAGGCCTTTTGTACTTAGAGTTGCTATGAGTTGCATGGGGAACTTGACAACACATAAAAACAAGTCCAACAAGAGCAAAACTATATAATGGCCTATTTTTACCTGTTTAGTCTTGATTGAAAGCATCTCTGCTTCTGGAATACACAGCATGATTGTTAACCTCAGAATCAGAAAATTTAAATCTCACTCACTGGACCAGTTGGTAGCATCAGTATGGATGGTGAAGAAATTGAGAGTTAACAGTTTTAGTTTGCTTGGCTCCACAGTCAACACTCTTGGTAACAGCAGGAAATGAAGAGACGAATTGCATTGGGAAAGTCAGTTGTGAGGGATCTCTCAAGAGTACTGAAGAGCAGCAATGTCAGTCTGGAGACCTGATCTAGACCATAGTCTTCACAATTGCGTGCTATGCATTGGAGAACTGGTCAGTGAGTAGGAATGATAGAAAGACAATTGATGCCTTTGAGCTGTGGTGCTAGAGAAGAGTGTTGAATATACCATGGACTGCCAGGAGAACAATCAGGTTTGTCCTGGAGAGGGGGAAGCAAGGCTGCTTCCTTGGAGTCAAGGATTCTGAAGTTTCGTCTGACATGCTTTGGGCATGTGACAAGGAGGGACTGATCCTTGAAGAGGGACATCATGTTTGGGAGGATGGAAGGACAGCGTAGGAGAAGTAGGTCCTCAATGAGATGGATCGATTCTGTGATTGGGGTGGTGGGAGTAAGTGTGTCGGAGAAGGTGAGATTGGCACAGGATAGAGCAGGGTTTAGGGCTCTCGTACATAGGGTCGCTATGAGTCACAATCAACTCGACAGCACATAACAACAACAACAACAACATATATTTTTATCTTGCTTACCAAATTACCTGTGGCCATGAAATTGACTCATGGTCATTTTATGTGAGTCAGTGTGAGCTTTACTCTAAGGCACCTCTGGGTGGACTTAAACCTCCAACATTTGTATTTATAATGAGAACATAACAGTTTGTACCACCTAGGGACTCCTTTTCCAATACTAGTGCTATGGAAACCAAAACAGAAACAAGAATCTTCCCTCTGGCTCTTGTGGTGTAGTGGCAAGAAGCTGAGCTGCAATCCCGAAGGCATGCAGTTCAAATCCACCAGACACTCTGCTGGAGAAGCGGCAATCTCCTCCTGTGCCAGTGACATCCAACTTGACACAAGGTGGGGAAAGAAAGAAAGGGGGGAGGGAATCTCTCTGAGTTTTGGTGGCCTAATGGATAAGAAGTTGTGCTATCAACCCAGAGAAAGGCAGTTCAAATCTACCAGCTGCTCCAAGAGAGAAAGACGGATAATCTCCTGTGTAATTTACAGCCTCTGAAAACTCCTAGGTGATCTAGGAGTCAGTTCCAACTGAACAGCAATGAGTAAGTGAGTCTCAACTCACTAAGAAGTTGAAAGGAGAGGAATACAAAACAGAACAAGAAATATTTCCCTAAAAAAGAAATTCCGTATGGGATAGGGGAGAGAAGACTTTTTTTCTCCTGGACCTTTCCTTCTTCACATTTCTCCAAGAGTGCAGAAACTCTCTGGAAAGCAGCTCTCTTATTCTCTTCTTACCTTCATTTTAGAGCTTCTTTCTCCCTGTCCAAACACCTCAGATTACCTAGTTCATTCAGGAGGACATACAGTACGTGATTTTCCCTTCTTTTCCTTTTCCTCTCTTCACCTTGCTTTCCTCTTCCCTTCTCTTCTTTAGATTCCTACTTTCTCCAAAGTTGAACTTTTCTCCTGATGAAACAAAGATACAGAGTAGAAGTAAGATGGATCAATGTGGTCATAGGTTGTTTGTTCTTTTCTTTCCCATTTCAGGTCTCAAAAGGAAAGATGAACACTCTCCTTCCTTCCCAAGTCCCTCATTCCAGAGAGGGGAGCGAAGACCGCCCACTGTCAGTCCATGTTCTGTGTCTAAGCTAGAACTTCCTGCGTTTGGTACTTTTTATCACTGTCTCTAGGGAAGTAGAGGCATGGTGATTCGGTCTTGGGAAAACCAAACAACCATAGCAGAATTTGTGCTTCGAGGATTCTCTTCCAACAGGCAGTTAAATATTTCCCTGTTTGTGATATTTTTAGTTTTTTACATCTTAACTGTCTCTGGAAATATCCTCATTGTCCTGCTAGTTTTGATCAACAACCACCTTCACACTCCCATGTACTTTTTCCTGGTGAACTTGTCTTTTCTGGAGATCTGGTATACTTCCAACATTGTCCCCAAAATGTTGTCCATTGTTATAGCTGAACAAAAGGCTATCTCTGTGGCTGGCTGCCTGGCTCAGTTCTACTTCTTTGGATCCCTAGCAGCAACAGAGTGCCTTTTGCTGGCCGTAATGTCATACGACCGCTACCTGGCCATCTGTCAACCTCTCCGCTACCCTGTCCTCATGACTGGCCCACTCTGCATCAAGCTGGCTGTCAGTTCCTGGCTCTGCTGCTTTCTCCTCACAGCAATCACCATGATCCTACTGTCTAAACTAACCTTCTGCGGACCCAATGAAATTGATCACTTCTTTTGTGACTTCACTCCTCTGGTGCATCTCTCTTGCATGGATACCTCATTGACCGAGACAATTGCCTTTGCCACCTCTTCTGCAGTGACTCTGGTTCCATTTCTTCTCATCACAGCCTCCTACTCTTGCATCCTTGCTGCTATTCTGAGAATCCCATCTGGCACAGGCCGGCAAAAGGCCTTCTCCACCTGTTCCTCCCACCTCACTGTGGTCACAGTGTTTTATGGGACACTGATTGCCACATACCTGGTGCCCTCATCTAACTCTTCAAAACTCTTGCGCAAAGGGTTCTCTCTGCTCTATACCATCCTGACACCTATGTTCAACCCAATCATTTATAGCCTAAGAAATAGAGATATTCATGAAGCTCTGAAGAGGTGTTTGAGCAAAAAATCAGGTTTCCTCAAATAATACAAAAAAGCAAAGAACTGTGCTTTTTCCAAGGCCTAATAAATTAAACTGAGCTATTTATGGGGCTCAAATTCTACATGCAAGCTCTACTATTTAACAAAGAGTTACTTAAGCTAGTTGTTCAGATGCCTCTGAGTATGGCAGTTGGATACTCCTGGGTTCTAACAACCTCAGGGCAACTAGTGTCCCAGGTCATGATCTAGCCAGGTTGGACCCATCATCTTCTGTAGACCTGAATTTTTGTGTAAAAGACCACATCCAAAATTAACAAAGTTAGCTACTCATGCTTTCAAATATTAGTCAAGGGTCTACTATGTTCTAAAATTTTGTTAGATTTAAGTGGCAAAATAATAGATAAAACATGAAGTTCGTCATCTCACTGGATTCACAGTCTGGGGTGAGGGGAGAAGGATTAATCAAATAACTCATGAAATGGCATACATTAATATAAATTTATTCTTGTAATTTAAATCAAATTGATTAAGATGTTAATTGTACATCAAGAATGTGGAGTTCCAGTCTCCTACTTTGGGATATATTTGGGGGAAATGAAGACTTGAAGAAATTAGACAAGACATAGGATTTACAACAATATTTCCAGCACTCTGTTGCCATAATGGCAGCTCAGTTAGAGTTGAGCTCTGTGTACCGGCTGCCATAATGGGACTGATAATGAGATTATTTATCAAGTGGCACAAGGAAGTGCCCATCTGCCAAGATTCTTGCTTTAAATCTCTCTACTTCCTACTGGCATATGCTCTCGCTAGTTAGAGCACAGGGTGTGGAAAGCATGTGTTTGCTCTTTGCTCTGTGCAGTTCTAAATTGCTGAGTTGACTTGAGTAGAAAAGTTGAGGTCAGCATTATACCCTCAGATGCTAATGCCTCTTTTTCATTTCACCTCACTCATACAATGTATGCACTCACCTCCCCCAGTTCCATGGACAGGATTATCTCTTGTCTAAACTCTTCTAATGAATTTTTGTTCTGCTTTTGAGTTAAGCAAACTTATGTGTTCCCGATACATGTTCACAGCAAACATGGAATTGCATTAGGTGCCTTAATGAACACATTCTTAAACCTTACTTTAAAAAGAATTAATTGCCCATTTCTTGTTCCTTTTATAGAATGGGACATTATGTGGAATTATATTAGCATACTCATGTCATGATTATGTGTCATCAATTTGGAGTAGACTCATAGATACCCCGCCAGGGTGTTTTCAAAAGTTATAAATTGCATGGGAGGAGATTGCTTATCTTTCACCCTCAGAATAGCTGGTAGTTTTGAACCATCTGTCTGCTTTTAGGTTGGCAGTGCAACTCCTTGCCCACTAGAAGTAAAAGTTTTTCATTTTCAACATCAATTTATAAAGTTTCTGTGGCAAGTGTTAGCATCAGAATAGCTTTGGGGAAGTTGAACAGTTATCTGGAAGAACAGTTTTTGTGTTAACCAGCAAGTTTTGAACTCAAGTTCTGTCACTTTCTAACTCAAATCTAGACTTACTGCCATTGAATCAGAACTGACTCAGCCAATTATCCAGCTGATTTCAGAAGCTGTAAATCACATGGGAGGAAATTGTCTATCTTTCTCCCATGAAGTCACTGGTAGATTCAAATCACAAACAAGGTATGGCCTTTGGGTTAGCCACATAACTCTGTCTATTCTAAGCCTCCACTTTCTAACAGTTTTATTTTATTCAAGTTACCTAACCTCTTCAAACTTCATCTTTGTCATCTGGAAAACAGAAAGTGTTACATCTATCTCATCCTGTAAAGATCTCTGGTGGCATAGTTCATAGTGGGTTGTGACTATTCAGGAAGTGGTTGTTCAGGAAGAGTGTGGCTGTTTATTCCAGTTGAGATTTACAGCCTGGGAAACCCACGAAGAGTTACTAAGCATTGGAAGTTGAGTTTGATGTTTTCTGATTCTGTGGTTAATTGATAAAATATTTAGTGTGCTGTCAAACACACAGAGAGAATTCTGTTAAGTGGTAGCTCTTGTAAACTCATGTACACTCCACATCCCATCCTACACTAGATTACCAAAGACAATGACCTAAAGGGGACACCTCCTTTAACATTACAGAATGATGAAAGTTCAGAATTCTGAAGCCCACCTTATTCCACAAATAAAGAAGGTTATTGCTGAAGGGATTAGATGAACTTTCTCCAGGTAATTATAAAACAAAGATGAAAATCCAAAACTTCTGTTCCTAATTCTAGGCTCTCTCCTCCAGGCCATACCATCTAACTTGCTATAATGTTTCCTTTGCCAGTAGCCAATAAAAAACTACCCTTTTATATATCAAAATTTCTCACAGAGCTGCAGTTTTACAGTTGATAAGAAAGTAATGGACTCTTGCATATGCCAGAGTTAGCCTTCACCCCAAGCTGCCAGAGTGCACATCTAAAAGGTCATGAGTTTAAACCAGGCAACAAAAACTTCTGGATTTTTGAAATACACACAATTGTTGTCAGCTCATAGAGATACTTGGAAAAGTAGACTGTGTAAAAGAGGAAGACCTCCAATGAGAAGGGTAGACATGGTGACTGGGACAATGGGTGTGGGCACAGTAGAATTTGTGAGGATGGTACAGGATTGAGTCAGGATTTTTTATTGTACATAGAGTTACTGTGAGTCAGAACCAACTTTATAGTGTCTAACAACATTTCTTACATAGGAAGCCTCAGGAAGATATTGACAATCTCACCCCACAACTTCCAGATGGGGAAAGGGAGATGGTGTAGGATATAGAATTGGCTTTTCGTTTCTTCCTAGATACTACAATGAAACATAAGGCAAAAGGACTCTCTTTCCTTGTTAGTGTGGGCTACAGTGTGAAAAGAGTCTCATCACTAGTCCTATAGCAAAAAGTTAAACCCAATACTGACAAAGAACCCCGAGGTCTGGCCACCTGTACCAGTGATTTTCTACCTTTAGCCAAAGTATCTAAGAGACCACCAAAGAAGAAAAGGAGCGTGACGGTCTCAGAGCCCCACCTTTGTGCTTCCAGAGAAGTTCTGCTTTTCAACTTATTTATTGCTGTTCCATTTAAAACTTCATTTGAATAAAGACTTCTACTGCTATATATGTATACACGTATATATGCATGTGTACACACATAAGCACACTTTCTTAAGTACACATTTCTTTTCATGTTCTTGCTGAAAAATACAAAAACATGGGCAGTCATGTTTGAATTAATTCATGCCCTGCAAGGTCAGGGACAATTGGTGTTCCTTGGCTGAAACAAGAATGAGAGTTTCTAAAGGAGATATAGCCAGTAATAACTAGCCGATGTGTGTGTGTGTGTGTGTGTGTGTGTGTGTGTGTGTGTGTGACAATTGCTAACAGTGACATTTTAAAGTTTCCTGCATCATTATAATCAACTACTTCTGTAAAAGTTGTGTCTCAGTACAATATTTACTAATGATTTCCCAGGCTGTTCAAGAATACTTGTCCCCAGGGAGCTTTGGTGGCCTAGTAGCAAGACACTGCACTGCAACCCCAGAGGTATGCAGTTCAAATCCACCAGATGCTCTGCTGGAGAAGGAGGGGGCAATCTCCTCTTGTACCAGTCAGATCTGATTTGATGGTACACATAAAAAATAATACAATAAAAATTTAAAAAAGAATACTTATCCCTGTGGGTGTCATATGCACCAAACTGGCATAGCCACATCCTGGTATAATTGTTCTATGAAGCTGAGGAGTGAACTGACCTGCAAAAAGAGTTCTGATCATTCACAGATTTAGTTGGCTTTCTTCTGAGGAAAAGAAAAAGGAAAGCTACATTATGTCTCTAAGTTTCTGATTCTTTTGTCAAGGCTGTGTAGTTCTTCAGTGACTGATGGAAAGAGAAAGACGTTCATTCGAGGGTGAAAAGGAGAGAGGAGGTCATAGCCAGTGCTGCCATCACAGGGAGGAGTTTGTTTAAGGATGAATCTGTCACTCTATCTATGCTGAGCTCAGGGAAAGAGGGCAAGAAAGCCTACTTATTTTGAGATATGTCAGTGGCCTCCAATCTTAATGGTTTCCCACTAATCTATGCCCATTTTAGAGCAAAGACGATAAATGGTGATAAGAGAGAATCCTGCCATGCTGAGATCAAGGATCTACAATAAAAGAGGATCATTCTTTGTGGATCCAACTATCCAACTTTGTGGATCTGACTAGCTCTTATCTGTTTAGACTCTGCTATCTGAGTAAACTGGGGCAAGTCTACTAATTGCATCAGGTCCAGACATCAAATCTGAAAAAAATCAGAAATTTTTGCTGGATATTGCCTAACCAATATACTGGGTATATTGACTAACATTCATATAGAACGTTAAAGTTTACAGAGTTTTCCACACACAATTTAACACTTATTTATCATAAAGTAGAAATTGGTCTCATAATGCAGATAAAAACATTACAATTCTAAGGTGTTAAATGACTTCCTCAAAGAGTATCTATGAATGTCTTCTGGTTTCTAAACCTCTTTTATTTCCATTACATCGTTAGTTGCTAAGCAGGAGAAAGATGGGGCCTCTTATTTCCATTATATCATTACATCTTCACAATCTGAGCTTGTTGGTACAAATACAGAAGTCAACTATGATACTAATTTACCTTTGGTGCTTAACCTGATCAATCCAGACATAATCCATTATACATGGATTAGTAACCATGCATCCATGGAAACACTCTGCTAGCAACATTGTCCCAAATGTCACACTACCAAGGAAATTGGCACTTTCTAAATAACATACTATCTGTGTTATGTCTATTGGATTTAGACTTTAGAAATATCTGTGGTAGAGAAAAAAAATATATATGTATTTTTCTAATTCATTCAAAGCAGCTTGAACTTCCTCCTTAATCACCATAGACTCCTGATATACAAATAAAATTTCTGAAAAAGTTTTAGTTCATTTCTCAATATGAATTATTATTTTGACTCCATATAAGTCTAGATGACATAAAGCCAGATGTTATAACTTTAAGCACTCATACT